CCTCAAATTTTCAGTTTATCACAGTCGGGCGGTTGCGGACGGTTTATTAGCAATTGCGGGTGGGTGTGGGTGAACAAACAGCTGACCCACACATCACTAACACGCACACACCCAGTCACTGAGACTAGATTGTGTCCGTGTGTGTGTGTGTGTGTGTGTGTGTGTGTGTGTGTGTGCGCGTATGTGTCTTTGTGTGTATAGCAGGGTAATTTTGAGCCGAGGAGCAAATTAAAAGCGAGTGATGACTATTGTGCCGAGGGCCGGGCATTTTGCTTTGCAATAATATCCAAGGTGTCCCTATAATCACACTGGCTACAATGAGCCTCCTGCTTTTCGAAATCCTACCCTGTACGTGTTTCTCTGCTTTAAGAGGATAGAGCTCTATAGCACTCCTAACCATGAGGGCCTTTGATATCCTATGGTTCATATTGCATTGTCCTTTGTAGGAGAGCTGAGTGCTGCTGTGCTATAATGGTGAACACTGTGCTGTCTTGTCCTGCATTATGCAACAACACACTGATTCTGCTCTTAATATGTCTGCAGACATTAGCAGCAGGGTCTGAGAGAGGAGAGCTAGAAGAGGTTTAGAACTGGGAGCCTCTCCTACTACAGATATTCTTATAGCTGCTCTGTTCTAAAGCATTAGCCATTTTAACATACTTCTCTTTATTACTGTAATCATATAGATTCTATAATGTATGAAAGACATAGGGCGTCTCAGAGACTAATATACCGTCGCTCTTCCCACATAATGTCCCAGCTACACTCAACTAAAGTCATTTCAACTTCTACATAAGAGATATCGCAGCAATAGGTCCCTCCGATGCACTATAATGGTTGAACACAATAAGAGACAAGCATTTAGGTGACTCATGTGAGGCAGTATTGGAGGCCGAGAGATATTTCAAACTATTCATAAATGACAAATCTACCGGTATATGCAAATGAAAATGAATGAAGTGAAATGTAATGGACCATGATTCTTCAACAGTCCTGATTTCGATCCATTATTACTGACTATTCTATTTATCGAAGCCTCCTGCTGGTTTACCGTTTCCAGTGTCTGTACTGTTCTGTACTCAGGTATGAGCTGGTTGTAGCTGCCCCTCAGAGCCACTGACAAGAGGAGAGAGAGAGATGGAGAGAGAGAGACGGGGAGAGAGAATGGGAGAGAGAGAGAGAAGGGGAGAGAGAGAGAGAAGGGGAGAGAGAGAGGGAGAGAGAGGAAGAGAGGGGGAGAGAGAGGAAGAGAGAGAGGGCGAGAGGGCGAGAGAGAGATGGCGCGAGAGACTCAGGGAGCTAATTATCAGGCAAGGTAATCAATTCTTTCTCCCATCTCACCCCCATCCGCCCCTACACACACATCAAAGACACTCCACTTTAGATTAGTGGGCGAAGTACAAACACACCCCTGACACACACACACACACGGCTTTTCCTCCTGTGGGACCAGGCTGTTTCCTGTACTGGCTGTCTCTCCTCTTCTTATCTGGCCATTCTAATCCCATACACTGGGAGGGGTGTGTGGGGATCATAAGTACAGCATGGGCATTAATAGGAAGCCACTATGTCTTGAAATGCATAGGACTGCGTGTATGTTAATACCCTGGGGACGTTTTCTATGTGTACTCACTGTAAGTACATGCAGAGCCGCACTCCTCGCTGTCGCCTGAGCCTGTTAGCGTGTATGAGCAGGGCATAGGCAGGGTTAAGGAGTAAGAGATTACAAACATTTTGACCTGTAATCTGTAACGTAACGAGCAAATCTATTGTAATCAGATGAGATTTTTTTACAAAAATTATCCGCCCTCTCTTCTAGGATTACTTTTAAATTCAGAAAATATGTTTGCGAGAAAGAAATATTGGACACCTTTCTGTTTTCTCAATGAAATACAAATCAGCATTTTAAATTGGTTAAGTTTAAGTTTGTCTGGCTGAGCGAGTTTGACCACAAGTCAGAGACCACTATGATGACACACCTAATGCGTTTGATGGATCGCGGGAAAAGAGCAGGAATAGGCTTTTGTAGGTTACAGTCCAAGCTATGTCTTTCATAGGTTCGACTGCTGTCGGCATCCACAGATTATCCAGCTTGAATAAACGCTAGGAGGTAAGGACGACAGCAGTGGTGCAGCCTACGGGCGATACGGGATATTCACTTATTATTGATAGCCTATCTACATAGCACATTGACGTGAATCACACTGCTGCTCTCTCATTTAGCTATTACGGATAGTGGTTTTTGTGGATGGCTGTTCACAAATGTATGTGTATTTTAACCCAATAATGGTTGAATTTAAGAAGTTGAAATTGCCCGTAAATCATTGTTTTTGTGACCAGTGGACAGCCAGTGTAAAATGTGCTCTTGCAACAGCTGCATAGTGTGGATCCCAGCCTATGGAATAAAAGTGAGGGAGTTCCTCTCTTCTAAACTTCTTTGTGGTATTGTGCTCCATACTGTCAAAAACAAGTTACATTTTATCCACGAGCGGGGGTTTTATTGCTCAAACTAATTTGTGCTGATTCAAAAAAATTATCCATAGGCTTAACGGACACATGCTTAAACTTGCACACTTTCTTTGATAGACTTAAACAGTTGCAAATTATCGAGATATCAAAGTGTCACCAACAAAAACATACAGTGCATTCGGTAAGTATTCAGACCACTTGACTTTTTTCACATTTTGGTTACGTTACAGCTCAAGGATGATCAATGGAAACAGAATGCACCTGAGCTCAATTTTGAGTCGCATAGCAAAGGGTCTGAATACTAATGTAACTGTGATATTTATTTTTATTTTTAATAAATGTGCAAAACAATTCTAAAAACCTGTTTTTGCTTTGTCATTATGGGGTATTGTGTGTAGATTGATGAGGGGAAAAAAAACAATTTAATTCATTTTAGAACAAGGCTGTACCTAACAAAATGTGGAAAAAGTCAAGGGGTCTGAATATGTTCCGAATGCACTGTAAACAATGCAGCATATGGCCAACATTTTTCACCTGCAAATAGCCATTCCATGAGAGCTGCATTTATTTTTCAAGTCGAAGCAATGAGCCCAATCAGTCCTCCATGACAACAAAACCATAAACAACAGAGTAGGCTAATAAGTCCTTCGTTTTTGGGTTATGCTCAGGTAAAACAATTTCCATATTTCCAAGTCCTATTCTTGAAGATCAAGGGGTATTAAATTACCGGTAATTGGAATGACTGGAATTCTGACAGATATAGCCTAATCATATTATTATCTGCAGAAGAAATCAATGGGTTAGAAGAAGTCTAACATTGATTTATCCTGCAACAGATGTCGTTCAATTGGTAATATTCATTTTTGTCTTCTTCTAAAGGCGTCAGCATGCTTCGGTTCGGCTGGCGACGAGCCAAACTTGGCAATGCGAACCGAACTAGTGTGCTCGCATACTCCCTTAGAAGACCTTTGCTTGGAAAACGAGAAAAAAACGGCACTAGTACGGTGTCCACTAGTACGGTGTCCACTAGTACAGTGTCCACTAGTACAGTGTCCACTAGTACGGTGTCCACTAGTACGGTGTCCACTAGTACGGTGTCCATATTGAGACGCCGTTGCCAGTGTACACTTCCTCAAAATAGTGAGAATTAATGTAATTGTCATTCAACGAATTATCTTGTTGAATGACAACAAACACTTAATTGAAGAATCCCTACTGTTGACCAATCACCTACGAAGGGGAATAGACTTCAGCTACCAACTTCGGTTTGCCGCTAGAAAAAAATCTGTGTGCACGAACAGACGAAAATACCCTTGCTGAAGACCAAAACAAACAAAAACTTGACAAAATGGTCACAATATATGCACAAACTGTTCCGGATGGGAAGCATGAGGACGCCTTTATGCCTCTTAAGGGGAAAGTAATCAAAAAGTAACTGAAAGGAATATGATTACATTACTGAGTTTGGGTAATAAAAAAGTTACCTTACTAACTACAATTTTGGACAGGTAACTAGTAACTGTAACGGATTACAATTGTACATCTTTGATTACAGAGCAGATGAGGGCCAGACCACCGAAACAACTAAGCAAAAGGTGTTACAAAGCAGTGCAAGGGAGGTTTAGTTCCAAAAGGACATAAAAAATAAAAAAACTTTTACACATGACATTTGCATTGTAACATTGTTGTTATTGTACTAAATTTGAATTATTTTTGAGTGACAATTACATTAACATATATTCAGCATGACATCCATGTCAGCATTATAATATGATTACACACCCAAAAGTTATGCACTCATAACATGACAGCAATATATTTAGACTACTTTGCATTTGTCTAGGCTTGCTACTAACAGTAGCCACTAGCCAGCCAGCAGCCCGGGACGGAGCATTGCACCCTGGGAAGTGAAATGCACTCTGAGAATCGTAGAATGCTGTGTAAAATCAATTAATTGAGCAAATTAACCCTGATATGTATCAAATTACATTTGAAAACAGATTAGATGTAATTGTAAAATTATATAGTCTCTGATATGGTTTTGCATAATGAACATTGAAGGGATTCTTCTGTTATTTAATATGGTGTATTATTTTTGAAAGAAATTTACCATAGAATAGAAGATATTTCTATTTGTTATTTTATTTGTTCAACATATTGTTCAATGTTTAAAAAAATAAAGCCCAGTGGTTATTCTGTGACTTTAGCTAATAAGCGTAATTTTTTTTGCTGCGGTATCGTTTTGGTATCAAGTATCATTTTGGTATTAAGTATCGTTTCGGTATCATGATACTAAACCTGGTATCGAAGTAAAAAATCTGGTATTGTGGCAACACTAGCAGGTAGATGACACAGAGTCAGGGAGCGAGGATGGGGAAGGTATGTTTAACCATGTCTGGGGAAGGTGTTGGACAGGAAGGCACTGTATGACAGAAACTGTGTAATATAGGTCTGACAGGTTGTGACTGTGTGAGGTAGGTATGACAGAGGCTGAGAGTGGGATGGGTTTATAATGATAAAGGCTGAGTCACTCACATGATGGCATTGACGTTTCGGTCGAGGCGGGAGGTGCACCCTAGGATTTCTCCAGGGGACAGGGGACGACACTGGGGAACCACTACCTCATACTCTGGCCTCAGAGCTGCACTCACCGCCTGGGGGAAGGGGGAGAGACAAACAAGGATTGATAGATAGAAAATAACACCTACTTCTTCTCTTTTCACACAAAGTGAGACGCTGAGAGCGAGTGCCAACAATTTAGGCAAGAAAGAAGCAGCAGCATGCTCGGAGGCGGAGAATAATTAGTGTTCTTTTCAGTTGGAGGTAACAGGGAATATGGAGGCTGACCTGACGACTCCCCACACCATTTTGGACGACCTACACAAACTGTGAGCTGTGAGCAATAGGCGCACACACACACTCACACACACACCAACCGCCCCAACAAAAAACTAAATATGACACACACTTACACACACACCAACCACCCCAACAAAAAACTAAATATGACACACTCTCACACACACCCAAACCACCCCCAACACACAACAAAAACATGACACACACATCAGCACGTCAGAATGTATAAATAACACTGGTTACATTAGCAGGGGCCTAGTGTTGGTCATGCACTGACAGAGGAGAGGAGAGGAGCAGAGAGGAGACGGAGGAGGAAGCTAGCTCTACTGTGGATCTATAACTGCTTATGTAAAGGCATGAGATGAGCAGTAGATACATGATCTGAGATTTCACAAGTTCACTCCTCCTTTTAAGTCCAAAATAACTGCAGCTGGGTTTTCAAACCCACACTTGAACTGAACTTCAAGAGGCAGGAAGGAGACTGGCTCACACAGGCGCAGAGCTTTTCTATGTATGCAGTAATCATGTAGGCTAGGCTTAAACTGTAAATGTACGCACACAAACAGTCCTCCATACACAAAGATGCACGTACACACACACACACACACACACACACACACACAGACAGACAGACCTGCAGTGCAGCCACAAACTGGATAGTGCTGACGAGTGCCAGAGTGTGTCCAGGGGGGAAGTTGAACTTGACCGTGTCCAGAAAGTGTGCGTTGTCCATCTGGATATCCACAAACACATACAGCATCTTAATGCCTGCTGTGGAGTCTATAGGGACTGCAGAGAGACAAAAACAGGGTTAGGATTAATAATTTAATACACTACATAACCAAAAGTATGTGCTCGTCGAACATCTCATTCCAAAATCATGGGCATTAATATGGAGTTGGTACCCCCTTTGCTGCTATAACAGCCTCCACTTGTCTGGGAAAGCTTTCCACTAGATGTTGGAGCATTGCTGCGGGGACTTGCTTCCATTCAGCCACAAGAGCATTAGTGAGGTTGGCACTGATGTTGGCCGATTAGGCCTGGCTCGCAGTCGGCGTTCCAATTCATCCCAAATAATTCGATGGGGTTGAAGTCAGGGCTCTGTGTAGGCTAGTCAAGTTCTTCCACACCGATCTCGACAAACCATTTCTGAATGGACCTCGCTTTGTGCACGGGGGCATTGTCATGCTGAAAGAGGAAAGGACCTTCCCCAAACTGTTGCCACAAAGTTGGAAGCACAGAATCATCAAGAATGTCATTGTATGCTGTAGCGTTAAGATTTTCCTTCACTGGAACTAAGGGGCCTAGCTCGAACCACGAAAAACAGCCCCAGACCATTATTCCTCCTCCACCAAACTTTACAGTTGGCACTATGCATTCGGGCAGGTAGCGTTCACCTTGCATCCGCCAAACCCAGATTCGTCCGTCGGACTGCCAGATGGTGAAGTGTGATTCATCACTCCACAGAACGCGTTTCCACTGCTCCAGAGTCCAATGACTGCGAGCTTTATACAACTCCAGCCGACGCTTGGCATTGTGCATGGTGATCTTAGGCTTGGAAACCCATTTCATGAAGCTCCCGACGAACGGTTGTTGTGCTGATGTTGCTTCCAGAGGCAGTTTGGAACTCGGTAGTGAGTGTTGTAACCGAGGACAGATAATGTTTACGCGCTACGCGCTTCAGCACTCAGCGGTCCTGTTCTGTGAGCTTGTGTGGCCTACCACTTCGCGGCTGAACTGTTGTTGCTCCTAGACGTTTCCACTTCACAATAAAAGCACTTATAGGTGACCGGGGCAGCTCTAGCAGGGCAGAAAGTTTACGAACTGACTTGTTGGAAAGCTGGCATCCTATGATGGTGCTATGTTGAAAGTCACTGAGCTCTTCAGTAAGGCCATTCTACTGCCAATGTTTGTCTATGGAAATTACATTGCTGTGTGCTCGATTTGATACACCTGTCAGCAAAAGGGTGTGGCTGAAATATCCAAATCCACTAATTTGAAGGGGTGTCCACATACTTTTGTGTCCATACAGTTTTATCCCATGGACATGGAGTACTCGTCATATGCCTAGCATTAATTAACAGTCACACATCAGCACACACCCACTTTCACAATAGAGCTGAATCCCTTTCCATGTGATTCAGCCGGCAAACACACACACGATGTTGGGCACTGGTGCAAATACCTCAATTATTTAGGGAAGGAGAGGGACACATGCAATTACTATAAATATTATTAATTTCACAGGCCATTTACGACACGCCCGCCTGGGCTTAGGAGAGCCAGACACTTAGGGACAGGGGGGAGCGGGTTGGAGGGAGCGGCGAGAGAGAGAGGGCTGAGGGAGATGGGGTAAAAGGGCACGGATAAAGAGAGAAGCATTATCTTTGGTTTTGATCATGGTAATTACAGTTCCTCTTGTGTTACATGCAATTTACACATCTTGAGCAAAGGAGATTTATGCTGTGATTAAGTAAATGTGCCAGTCATGTACATTTTGAAACAGTTGTAATGTAGCTCATGTCCCAAGTAGATAGTTTAATAGAAGCAGAAACGAAGAGGAGAGAAGCGCTAGCTATTGCTAATGGGGTAAAACATCGATACAGTTACATTATTTTGGACGATATTATATCAACACTTTGACACCAAGTACCGATTCGCAGATTTTTTGAAATAAAACAATTGGTAGGTTGTGCTAATTGAGTATACCAAACATTAGGAACACCTTCCTAATATTAAGTTGCACCCCATTTTGCCCTCAGAACAGCCTCAATTCATCGGGGCATTGACTCTACAAGGTGTAGAAAGCATTCCACAGGGATGCTGGCCCATGATGACACCAATGCTTCCCACAGTTGTGTCAAGTTGGCTGGATGTCCTTTGGGTGGTGGACCATTCTTGATGCACACGGGAAACTGTTGAGCGTGGAAAACCCCAGCAGTGTTGCAGTTCTTGGCACAAACCGGTGCGCCTGGCACCTACTACCATACCCCGTTCAAAAGCACTTACATTTTTTTGTCTTGCCCATTCAACCTCTGAACGGCACACATACTCACTCAATGTCTCAATTGTCTCGAGGCTTAAAAATCCTTCTTTAACCTGTCTCCGCCCCTTCATCTACACTGGTTGAAGTGGATTTAACAAGTTACATTAATAATGGATCATAGTTTTCACCTGGATTCAGCTGGTCAGTCTGTCATGGAAAGAGCAGGTGTTCTTAATGTTTTGTATACTCAGTATATAGTGAGCAATATGTTTGGAAAATAAAATCGTAATAAAATCGAATTGCAACACATAGAATTGTGAGAATCATGAGAATCACAATACATATTATAAAGTGAGGGAAAAAAGTATTTGATCCCCTGCTGATTTTGTACGTTTGCCCACTGACAAAGAAATGATCAGCCTATAATTTTAATGGTAGGTTTATTTGAACAGTGAGAGACAGAATAACAACAACAAAATCCAGAAAAACGCATGTCAAAAATGTTATAAATTGATTTGCATTTTAATGAGGGAATTAAGTATTTGACCCCCTCTCAATCAGAAAGATTTCTGGCTCCCAGGTGTCTTTTATACAGGGAACGAGCTGAGATTAGGAGCACACTCTTAAAGGGAGTGCTCCTAATCTCAGCTTGTTACCTGTATAAAAGACACCTGTCCACAGAAGCAATCAATCAATCAGATTCCAAACTCTCCACCATGGCCAAGACCAAAGAGCTCTCCAAGGATGTCAGGGACAAGAATGTAGACCTACACAAGGCTGGAATGGGCTACAAGACCATCGCCAAGCAGCAAAATAACTGTCAATCTCCCTCGGCCTGGGGCTCCATGCAAGATCTCACCTCGTGGAGTTGCAATGATCATGAGAACGGTGAGGAATCAGCCCAGAACTACACAGGAGGATCTTGTCAATGATCTCAAGGCAGCTGGGACCATAGTCACCAAGAAAACAATTGGTAACACACTACACCGTGAAGGACTGAAATCCTGCAGCGCCCGCAAGGTCCCCCTGCTCAAGAAAGCACATATACAGGCCCGTCTGAAGTTTGCTAATGAACATCTGAATGATTCAGAGGAGTACTGGGTGAAAATGTTGTGGTCAGATGAGACCAAAATCGAGCTCTTTGGCATCAACTCAACTCACCGTGTTTGGAGGAGGAGGAATGCTACCTATGACCCCAAGAACACCATCCCCACCATCAAACTTGGAGGTGGAAACATTATGCTTTGGGGGTGTTTTTCTGCTAAGGGGAGATCTTGCATGGAGCCCCAGGCCGAGGGAGATTGACAGTTATTTTGTGTTTCTTCCATTTGCGAATAATCGCACCAACTGTTGTCACCTTCTCACCAAGCTGCTTGGCGATGGTCTTGTAGCCCATTCCAGTCTTGTGTAGGTCTACAATCTTGTCCCTGACATCCTTGGAGAGCTCTTTGGTCTTGGCCATGGTGGAGAGTTTGGAATCTGATTGATTGATTGCTTCTGTGGACAGGTGTCTTTTATACTGGTAACAAGCTGAGATTAGGAGCATTCCCTTTAAGAGTGTGCTCCTAATCTCAGCTCGTTCCCTGTATAAAAGACACCTGGGAGACAGAAATCTTTCTGATTGAGAAGGGGTCAAATACTTATTTCCCTCATTAATATGCAAATCAATTCATAATTTTTTTTACATGCGTTTATCTGGATTTTTTTGTTGTTATTCTGTCTCTCACTGTTCAAATAAACCTACCATTAAAATTATAGACTGATCATTTCTTTGTCAGTGGGCAAACGTACAAAATCAGCAGGGGATCAAATACTTTTTTCCCTCTCTGTATCTGCACCTAAGTATCATGATAAGGTGAGGTCCCTGGCAATTCCCAGTCCTGTTAACTATAGAAATAGACTGGATTTTGCCATTACATTTTGGGTGGGATAGGCAGAGGTAATGTACTGTATACAGTGGGGGGAAAAAAGTATTTAATCAGCCACCAATTGTGCAAGTTCTCCCACTTAAAAAGATGTGAGAGGCCTGTAATTTTCATCATAGGTACACGTCAACTATGACAGACAAAATGAGAAGAAATAAAATCCACAAAATCACATTGTAAGATTTTAAATTAATTTATTTGCAAATTATGGTGGAAAATAAGTATTTGGTCAATAACAAAAGTTTCTCAATACTTTGTTATATACAGTGGGGGAAAAAAGTATTTAGTCAGCCACCAATTGTGCAAGTTCTCCCACTTAAAAAGATGTGAGAGGCCTGTAATTTTCATCATAGGTACACGTCAACTATGACAGACAAAATGAGGAAAAAAAATCCAGAAAATCACATTGTAGGATTTTTAATGAATTTATTGCAAATTATGGTGGAAAATAAGTATTTGGTCAATAACAAAAGTTTCTCAATACTTTGTTATATACCCTTTGTTGGCAATGACACAGGTCAAACATTTTCTGTAAGTCTTCACAAGGTTTTCACACACTGTTGCTGGTATTTTGGCCCATTCCTCCATGCAGATCTCCTCTAGAGCAGTGATGTTTTGGGGCTGTCGCTGGGCATCACAGACTTTCAACTCCCTCCAAAGATTTTCTATGGGGTTGAGATCTGGAGACTGGCTAGGCCACTCCAGGACCTTGAAATGCTTCTTATGAAGCCACTCCTTCGTTGCCCGGGTGGTGTGTTTGGGATCATTGTCATGCTGAAAGACCCAGCCACGTTTCATCTTCAATGCCCTTGCTGATGGAAGGAGGTTTTCACTCAAAATCTCACGATA